AACTTAATGTTAATGAAAATTGATTAAATGATGTCATTGAATTTTTAAATAAATTCCAGGCAATTGATTTGGAGACTCATTAGGTATGCTTCAATTGTCACCAAATTATATAAAGTCTACAACTCCACTTTACATTTTTTTCTCATTATTAATGTAAGACTTTAAAAAACATTTAAATTTGTTTAAAGATTAAAATTGTTGATGCAATGATCAAACATTGTTTATGCAAGGATTTTTGCACTATGTTGCTATAAAATATTATTCGTTTTGAGATTTAGAAGTTTGGCCTAACGGTTTTTTTTTTTTTTAAATAAGTCTCCATAAAAAAAAAAAAAACCTTTACTTATAAAGTCATAATTCAATCCATGACTATTAAAGATGACATTGTTTCTTTTATGAGGGAAAAAAATCACACTTGAACCTATGGGAGTATATTAAAAGGGACTGATATATAGATGTTCAACACCACTTGAGCCCAAAAGCTTAAACCATTAGGTTTTTGGGTCTTTCGTGTATGTGTCACCTTTTCATCCCATTTCTTAGTGATATGAGATTTTTTCTTGCATGTAAATCATATCAACAATCTCTCTCATTCACTTGCGAATTTTAATTAGCTCCATGTGCAAATAAATCTTATCAATATACCACTTTAGACTAGACAACTTCGGATTTCCTATGCATTCGAATTGTCTCAATGTACCTTTAGCCCCAACACTCAACTTTGCATCTCTATAGGTCTATATTGTCTTAATGCCCTTCAGATCCAACACTTAATCTTTCTTTTCCATGGGTCTAAATTGTCGCATTACCTTTTAAACTTGCATTCAATCGCAAATTGTCTTAGTACATTGCTGATTAGGGTTATTTGAAAATACATATCATTATGCTCGTCATGTCCAAACCGAACCTTGACTCTAATAGCAGTTGATGGAAGAGAAAAGCCACACTTGGAGTCCATAAGAGGCATATCAAAAGGTGCCTATATATATATATATATATATATTAGACACCACTTAAACAAAAAAATTTAAACTAATGTATTCTTAGATTCTCTTTATATTTATATCACATTTTATCTCATTTCTTAATAACATGAGATCCTTTCTCACACATGAATCACTTTAACATTTTTTTCAACACTAATTTGTGCATAATTTATATATATATATATATATATATATTTCGTTCGCACTATTTATAAAGCAAATAAAATTTAAATTCATCTTTCTGAACATAAGAATTTGAATAACGTCAATTCAAAAACCACGAAATCATTTATATATTCATTATCATCGTCATTTTTGACATTACATATATTTCTATAATTGTAAGCAAGGCGTACAAATAGTCCAAAAATTTCAAGACATTTGAAAATGTGTAGACAAATGAGAATGAGATAGAAAGTTATCATTGCATCGTCACTTATTGAGTTCTTTCTATTAAATTTTGTGTAGCAAAGCTGTCTGTATAAGAGTATTGAAAAGACTCCCTTCCCCTTGTTTTAAGGCCACTTGTTTCTGGAAAAGGACCGCACCTGGTTTCTTTTGAACATCAATTCCATTTCATGTCCGCTTTTTCTCAATTTGTTGCTTAGCTATTGTGTCCCTACACGTCTCCTTTGGATAAATATGATTGAAATTTTAAACATGTTCATAAATTGTTGTTCGTTCTTAGCCGCCAAGGAGATTCTACGTTTAAAAAAAAATTTATTTTATTACTATGTCTTGGATCAGACTGAATCTACCTTGAAAGGCCCATCTCATGAGTCATGAAGATGTGGATGTCTATTTATCAACAGATAAACAAGCATATAAGATAAAAAGGTGATACAAAATTTTGGGTTGTTATGCTTATTTTTTAATAAGATCAAAAGAATTTTCAGATTTTACCTAGATTTATTCTCTTTTCAAGATAATGTTACATTCTTTTATATTGATTAGATGAATTCAAAATTTTATTTTTAAATGCTCCAACAATAATCAAAATCCCTTATTGATGTAATATATATATATATATATATATATATCTTTATGGACTAAATTAATTTTAGTATTGTCAATTATTCCTTAAATTAGTTGATATATTATTAAAGTTGGTACTTAAAATTTTCAGATTTGAGAGAAGTTATGTGTGTAATATTCTATTCAACTAGATAAATAGTAGAGTAAAAGGAGTTTAAGGGTAAATTAAGAATTTAAAAAAAAAAAAACTAACTCTAAATTTTATGAGATTTTTTTTTCATTTAAAATTACTTTTATCGTTTACATACTATACCTGAATATTTAATTCAATATTAAATTTTTTTAATTAAATAAAAAACTCATATACTACTCTTTTTCCCTCAGCATTTTCTTTTGAAAGACTGTTTTTATATACTTGTGCTTTCATTTTTTTTTAATTATTATTATTATTATTATTATATAGAAAACAATATTTGCCATCAAATATTAATGAGCATTCTCGTCGTTTCTTCTTATAATTTAAAAAGTGTAAGAGGTTACCAATGAAATTTTAATTTAGTGGCAATAAGGAGGTTTTAAAAACTTTAGGTTTTAAGTTCAAGCCTATTATGTATGAGTTTAATTGCTTAGTTATCATATAGTTTCTTAGTTGATTATTCAGTAATCATAATTTGATTATAACGTAAAACTAATTATGAATATAACTTAAAAAAAAAAAAGTTTTCAATAAAAATGGAAATAAGAAATGGTTTTGGGATCAACTAATCAATTTCAGATCTAATATAGAAAGTCAGCGCTGGATATTTTGAGGGGATTTCAGACCCATTTCATGATGCAACGTTATATATAAATGTGTTATAAAGATCGTTACAACCAGGCATAAAAAAACCTTCCTTCCCTCATTAGTACAAACCAAAGTGCTTTTGTTGAATGAGGGAAAATAGTGGACAATATCCTTCTTGCTCAGGATCTAGTGAGGAATTGCCATAAAAGGGGACTCCCTCCCAGGCTACGAAAAAAGTAAAAAAGGAAATAGTGCAAGAAGAGTAACCACTTATAGTGATAAAATGCAACATTTCTTTGGTTGTGATTGCTTGGCAAATATTTACGCAACTAAGCCCGAATTCACCATCGCTGAACGTGACTTCACCACTTCAACCCATATCTTGTAGTGCAAACAAATGTCTCCGAGCTATGATTTTTTTTTTTTTTTTTTTTTTGCATTTGCTCATCTATGAAATTGTTTGTAAAAAGTATCAAAAAGAAAAAAAAAATCTTATTAAAGCTAATTTTACCATTAGGAAATCTTTAGTAAGTTCCACTCAGATACGAAATACATATACACTTGGCCTCTTGTCTTGTTTATTAACTTAAACATCACATATATATATATATATATGTTAGTAATTAATAACTATTCTTTTGACTTATTAATCAAGTTTTTTTATATATAATTAACTAATTAATTAACTATTACATCATAATTAAATTATAATCATTGAATAATCAACTAACAAATTATAATATAATTAGACAATTAAATACACACACATTGAAACTTGAAGACTTATTAATAAAGTTATATAGATCAATTACATATTACTAATTTAGAATATTATACTCTAAGGATGTGTATGATGCATAAGATTATAATAGGATAGGATAGGATAAGATAATATTATGATTAGTATTAGATTAAATAATGTCATACTATATTGTATTTGATATATTTAAGAATTAAAATAAAATAATTTATTTATTGTTCAAAATTATTCTTTCTCAGAATTTATATAATTTAAATTATTGATATAATTTTTAAGGATATAATAAGATAAGTAAGTTCAATTACATTTATTAAAAATAATCATCTCTATTTTAAGAGGATTAAATCATCCAATGCCAAGACGATAATTAATTCTCCTTATAATTATATTCTTTTCTTTAAATACAAACCAAATATAATATAAGATAATTATTATCCTATCATATCCATCAAATATGACCTAAAGATGTGTTTGGTATACATTATTATGATAGAATATAATAAAATGATATTATAAATAAGATTATATTAAATAAGATTATATTAAATAATATCATATTATCTTATGTTTGATGTGTATAAGGATTATGATAGAATAATTTATTTATTGATCAAAAATATCATTTATCAAAGTTTAAACAATTTAAATTACTGATAAAATTTTTAAGGATATAATAAGATATGTAAGTTCAATCTCGTAGAATTAAAAATAATTCTCTTCATTTTGAGATGATTGAATTATCTTATATTAAAATGTCATATTTGATGTATAGGGTGATAGATAGAATAGGATGATAATCATCTTATATTTTGTTTAAATTGTAAAAAAGATAGGAATACAAAGAGATTAATCATCATCTTGGTATAGAATAATTCAATCTTTTCAAAGTAAAGGGATTATTTTTAATCTATGAGGTTGAACTTACATATTTTATTATACTCTTAAAAATTACATTAATAATTTAAATTATATAAACTGTGAGAAAAGATAATTTTAACCAATAAATAAATTATCCTATTTTAATCCTTACACACATCAAACAGATGATAGAATAACATTATATAATCTAATTTGATTTATAATATCATTTTATTCTATCCTATTATTATAATCTTATATATCAAACATATCCAAAGAATGATTAATTCTCTTTGTAGTCTTATCTTTTTTTTAGATATAAATCAAATATGATATAACATGATTATTGTTTTATACACCAAATATGATTTAAAAGTTTATACTAAATATATTAATCGGTAATTTTTTTTTTTTTTACAAAAAAAGCAGTAGTTTGAAAATAGAAAAAAGGATAATATATGTTGGGATTTTAACTCAAAATATGTTGTATACGATCTTTTATTAGTTAAAAATAATTATATAAATTAATTAAATTAAAATTTGAATTAGATAATTAATTATTTACTTTGTTAAAATGAGAAAAGAAAAGCACTAGATGACAATGAAAAGAGTTGGTGATGTCAACCTCATTGCTGATCTTTAGTAGTACAAAAAAAAAAAAAAAGATCCAATTCTTACATAAAATAAGAGTACACTCGGGAATTAGATGACCAAAATTATTGGAGAATCTCTCTGCTAACAATTAGAAACCTGAAGCAATCTGCAATATATATCTCTTAGCAACAATTTATGCCCATGTCAGAAAACTGACTAGACAGGGCAGACCCACCCCCACCCAAATCCCTTCTCTTAGGCTTTACCATTGGAGGTACCCATTTGCTAAAACTATGTGCTCCACCTTTTGGTTTTACTTCACTATTTTCTCCGCCAAAACCAGCAATATTCATTGCAGCAACTTTACGACAGGCAGAGAGCCATTTGGACTGCATGTAGGTGGTGGTCCTCCATGGTGGTACATGGAGTCCTGCCTCTCTAATGGATTGTTTGGCTGCTGAGCAAAGCACTGAGATAATCTTTTTGAGCTTTTCCTCAGTTCCTACAAAGATGGATGGGAGAGCATCTGTCAACTGTTTGTAGGTTGGTGTAGGTCTTGCAAGTTCAAATTGCGACTTGAAGTCTATGTCTACTAGGAGCCTCATTGTATCACCATTCTCATTCCCCATTACAACGTCAACATATTCATAATCACCTGTTCATGTAATTAATCCATAGACAGAAAAATCTAATTAAATAAATTCAATCTTGGAAAGTAGAAAAATTCAAAAGCATTATTCCTAGCAAGAAATGGGGGAATTTTACAGTTAGGATCAATTTTGTCTGAAGGGTAAGAGAGATAGGGAGAGAAAGACCCACCAGCAGGACAGCCTGAGGAAGTAACCCAAGAAGTTTGACATAAAGAAGCATCAAAGCCATTCATTTTGAGCATCATGGCAACCCACTTCTTCAAACCAATAGTTTTATGGACATCCCATTTGCTTCTAATATGCTTCAACACAATCTCAAGAACCTCCCTCTCAGCTTCCGTTCCAGTACACCTAAGAATCCCCTACAAAGATAAAATAATAATCCAAAAAATACATCAGGAAGACACTTACAAACACAGTGACCGAAACACAAATTCAGCAAAACATTCCATATTATATATTTATTTGTCAAGCAGGCTACATACACAATGATAATACCTGTAAAGCAGAAAGTTCAGTTAGATGGTTAAAAGAAGGACGCTGGCGGTTTGAGAGAGAAGGAAACATGGGTGAAGATGATTCTGATTCTATGAAGTCCTGAACCATTTGTACGAGCTCTTCCTCTTCCAAGCTACCCATCTCAGCCTCTGTATTTCTGTGTTGTTGATGCCTTTGATGGGGTTTTACAATGAAAATATGGTTTATATTTTCAGTTTCAGACAGTGTTATAGCGGTGGAGATTACAACATTATGTGGATAGATGAAGTCATTATAACTTGTTGCTATATATAAGAACTTAGCAGCTTAGTACAAAGATCTTGAAATCAAGTGTAAAATGAATGGGGTAAAAACCAATCGGGTTTAAAAATTTAAAGAGAGTGGTGGGAATGGGAAATAGGAATATAATAGGAGAATATTCTTATGTTTTGCTTGCTCAAAAAGAATGAGAAATTGAAAATGTTGTCGTTGCTTCCAGAAGTTACTCTAAACGTCTCAATTTTTTATGAAGTGGAGACGTCTAAGAGTTGGCAAATCTTAGTTGGAGCAAAAACCCTTAAAACCACCTTAAGTGAGGACCTAAAGGCTAAATTGGCCAAAAACAAGAAGTCCTTAAGGCAAAGGCTGTAGCATTCTGAAGACTTTCGAAGGCGTGCCGAGCATTTGTCTTACATGTTTTTATGAAGAGGCTAAGGAGCGTGCCTTCATTTAGTAAAATTCATTCCAATCTCAAAATTGTTCGATTCATCTAATTTAATTCAATTAATCAATATATTAAATCCAAATATCTGAATTCATAATGTTTTACATTCAAAATATTTGATAAATTAATTCAAAATATATTAATTTTAAAATTTAATAATTTAAATTAAAATAATTTGACACGATTTAAACTTAAATAACTCTAATATCAAAAAATGAAAAGTTATTGATGTCTTTAATTTTTGTGATCTAGTGATTAAGTAAATCTTAAAAAGACACACGATTGAAGTTCGATCCTAACCCTCATCCCCTCTTAATGTAGGACTTTACTACAAACCAAAAAATAAAAAAGTTATTGATAACAACGATGAAGTAATAAAACAGCTGACGCTAAGTATTATAGATTGTTATAGACTTACGGATTTGTTACAGATAGATGTTATTTATAGGTAGGATTTTCATTATGTGGAATTTACACAGAAATGCACGTTACAGATCGAATCATAAGGCCCAATCCAGCTTGGCCCCAAGACTATCAAAACAAAAGAGCCCAGCAATTCATATAGGGAAAAGCTAGGGTTTCATTTCTGCTGATAACGATAAAACATATTTTTTTCCCTGGTGAGCCGAGTGAAAAAGGAAAAGCGAAGAGGAGCAGCAATGGTGAAGTTCCTGAAACCAAACAAGGCTGTCATCATCCTCCAGGGCCGCTACGCTGGTCGCAAGGCGGTGATTGTCAAATCCTTTGACGAAGGAACCCGCGATCGCCCTTACGGCCACTGTTTGGTTGCAGGGATTAAGAAATACCCGAGGAAGGTTATCCGCAAGGACTCTTCAAAGAAGACAGCCAAGAAATCCCGCGTTAAATGCTTCCTCAAGCTCGTGAATTATCAGCACGTGATGCCTACGCGTTACGCTCTGGATGTGGACTTGAAGGATGTGGTAAATGTCGACTCTCTTCAGAGCAAGGACAAGAAAGTCTCTGCTTGTAAGGCTACCAAGGAGAAGCTTGAGGAGAGGTTTAAGACCGGGAAAAACAGGTGGTTTTTCACAAAGTTAAGATTTTGAGATCTGGGTTGTTATTATTTTTGAAGATTTTGAGGTTTATTTAGTGTTTAAAGCTTTGTTTTAGGGTAAAAATTGCATCCGTTTTGTCAATAAGATATTATTGGGTTTTTGTTGTTACCATTCTAGTTTTCTATTATAATTTTGTTTGATTTAATGTCCACTTGGAATTTAGCTCGTCTTTTTTTTTACTGCTATTTGATTGGTTTTTTTTAATGGTTTCTCTTCTGCTATTATTTATGTGCTTTTTTAAAAAATGTGGAGCATTATCAAATTTGGTTTTACCTTTAGATATATTATTAGCATTGGTTGTGTTAAGCTAGTTTTAAAAGATGGGACTTCTTTTGACTAGTGTTTCTTGATTCTGTTCTCCCCATTTAGGTTGAAATGAAAGTAACCATTGGTTTCTTGTGCTAGTGGTCCATGATTATGGATGTTTCATGTTCTTCTCTTTCTGATTTCGGACAAACGGTTATCTTGACTGATGTTTATGATTGTAATTATAGGATTTGCCTATTACATCAGCGTCTGTGGTTTGTAACTACAGACCTGAGTTTAGAGAGCAAATGAGTTTCCTAAGGTGTCTGTAAGACCCGAAGGAGCACAGCTACCGTTGCTTGTTTTCCTATTAGTAGGACTGTCATATGGCCCAATTCTTGTTACAACCCGTTTGCTACAATTTTTGGATATTGGTCAAGGCCGCCAATGCACAAACAAAATGATTCTGTATCATTTGCCAGTGAATCTGCATGTTTGAGTGGAAGTCCATGTTGTTTGAACAAGGCTTCTGGTATGGGGTCTAATAAAAATGGAGAAAAGAATAATCATACCCTTGCAACCAGAGTCTAGTTACCTTCTGCTCTTTCTTTGAATAAGCTTAGTAGCTTTCTTTCATTCACTCTTCTATGCACAGTAGCTCTCATGTAAATATTTTCAACCCGTTTTTTTACCTGCCTAGCTTTTAGTTTACACTACTTCTATATAGACAAAATTCATATACCAAAAAAAAAAACACTAATACCCATTGCTGAGATTTTGAAACAATTATTATAAGGCGAAGTAATTTCCATGTTATTTCTTGATCAAGCAATTAATGGCAAACACGTTTTTTTTTTTCGTATTCTTTTAAACTCACAAATTATGAACTTTATTTATTTTGATCACATTATAGTTAACATATATGAGTGCATATTAAGTAATTGGGGTGTTCCATCCAACTCTTTCTTCCCTAATGTATACTTGCTAGAAGATGAAGCTGTAGCTTCTATTTCACACTCTTACGTTCCTGCAATACAAAAATTAGAACAATTAAATTATGCACATAAAAGCCAGCCTTTAGCTATATATCATAAATCAGGGTCCGAATATGACTTACATACATGAATACCATACCAAGTAGAGTGACAAATTTCTAGACGCCATTTGGAGGCAGATAATACATGCCTCCATGTGTTTCAGATTTCTTTGGTGGTGATGGTGGCAGCGTATTGTGTTGAGGAGGTGAAGGAGGAGGCCGTGTTGCTGGTGTTTCTGGTGTTACATGCCTTGCAGTGATCTCAGGTAGAATTACAAGCGATATGATGACAAGTATAACAACATTAGTTCTTGGAAACAACTTCATGGGAACCAATCTCTTTCCCATTCTGTTTTCCCTTACTAAAATTGGTGAAGAATGCAATGCAATCTCATCAGCTATCAGTTTCCTATTTATAAACTCCTTAACAAAGGTTTCAAGGTCAATCCTTACGTGTGAAATAAGGTATTAACAATCTAGAAATCCACGGTACTTCAGCTGAGCGTATAGGGCACTCATTTTCTGCTTTTTTTTTTTTTCTCTTTTGCTTCAAATTTTCTTCGCCGTGGTTGCAGTTTGGTAATACAGCTGAAGTCAATGCAAAATGGTAAGTTTCTCGGTATCATCATTTTGGTGAAGTTTCATCCATTTTGGCTGGGAAATTGGCCGACTTGACTTTGATCATTGCATGAGCTAGCAGATTAATTGGACCAAGTTTTTCTTAATGCTTTATCTGGCTTGACCACTATTCCCCTTAGGAAAAATATGAAATGGGTTTATATAAATATAAATTTTATATATTAAATGAGTATAAAAAAATTTCATCTTTGTAACTTGTAATCATAATGTATTGCGGAAATAAGTTATACCAAACTAAAAACTCCAAGTCAATGCCTCAAATTTCTATAATGCATTTTTTTATTCACAATGCTGAAATTGAAATATCAATAGCTAGGTCGCTTTGGTGCTTGACTTTGACTAAAATTTGAAGTTTTATGCCAATCGTGGCGTGTTGATTTTGGATTAATGTGTGTTGCGCTCCAAGGTTTGGACAATTTGGGGGAAGTTAGTGGCTTATAGCTGCACGCTGCTTTTGGTGGTTGTGCTAGAGCGGCCGCGCTTGGCTGCTTTATTGTGGGAATTCATAGAATGTGGGAAGATTTATCAAGTCCCAACCTATATTTCCTCCCCCTAAATTCCAAATTAGTAGACTAGAATTCATGAATTGACTCAAATTTAAGATCTCTATGTTCACCGTACAATTTCCATACAAAAATTTACTAGAACACACGACGAAAATGAATAAACTGAAATTCAATTTGGATGAGATTCAGATGTAAATGTTACACAAATCACCCCACACACTGTCTTGATTGCACATCTGAATAAGCACCTTCACATTTGGCCTTCAAAATGGTAGTTCAATTACTGAATACAAGGAAAAAAAAAAAAAAAAAAAAACTAGTTAACTAAAATCTTTGTTGTCATTTTGATTGGAGAACCTTAATTTGGGCAACAAAACTGGAAGGCTCATCTCCTCCTCATTCCTCGTCCACGGCCAAGGAAACCACCTCCACGCCCTCTGCCAGCCATGGCACCTGCAGCAGTTTCTCCCTGTGCACTCTCCGACTGCAACATTAAACACAGGAAAACAGTGAAAGAGTTGTGCAGCAGTGCAAATGTATTGGCACACATTAATGCTGATAAGTAGTTAGATAAAATAGGCATAATGTAGGTCACATTGCAGCATTAATAAAATGAAGCGTTTGTTTTGCCCAAAGAAAGGGGATGAGCGGAAAAGAAGTAAGAAAATAATTTATTCATGCAGTTTTCTATCCACAATCACAATAATCATTCATTTTCAATTTTAAAAGATCACGAGATGTGAGCCAATGTTACAAGGAATATTACTATTTTAGATTTTATCTTTTGATCTCCACTTAGAAAGAATATAATTTTCATTTTCCACCTTTCCAATGAGCACACCAATTGAAAGAGGGGAAAAAAAAAAAAAAAACATATTTTCCCTCTTTCTACTTTTCTCTTCTAAATTTTCATCTTTCCATTTTTCTTTTAAGTGATCACATAAAAAGTAAAGCCTAAGTACTCAAATTAAAATGATAAAGTGACATGAAAATGATAATATTTCCTCCCCCTCCATGTGTTCACATATTTTTTTGGTACAGTTGTTTGGCCGTGTTTGGCTGTGGGGAGTGTGGCTATGTGTATGGTAATGTTCGATACATGAAGTAGAGAACAAAGGTATAGTTGTTCTTTTGCAAGTACTAGATAAGACATTGACCTTATTTTGATATATTTTGGCTTCAAAAATCTAACCCAAGCAAGTCAATATAACGTGAATAAATTCAAAGAACAATCAAGCAAGCGGACAATAAACACAATAATATGCAAAAATAAAATCCAACAACAATAAATGGATTTTCGAGGCTCAACATAAAACCCAAATCCACAGGCTATAAGACAAGAAATTTCTACTATAATCAAGAAATGAAGATTGCACCAACTTTTGATCATCAAAACTCACTCAAAACTCGAAAACCACTGCACCCCAAAGCCTGAGAGATTTTCTTTCAATCCCTCAAAACTGAAGATCACAAATGAGATTTCTCTCACAATCTCATTATATCTTTTTTTTTTTTTCTCTCCCCAAATTGCCATTAATGAACCTTAACACATAATAAAGCTAATGTCAGCAAAAGTATCAAATGAGGACAAAAAAGGAAAGAGAAGTGAGTGATAAACACCAAGTTGAATTTTCAATCATCAACTTCAAAAGATCTCCAACTCTAGTGTCAATGACAGCTATAACAACCCATAATTAGAGTACAATTGGATGCCAAGGTTTGCACCAGCCATATGTTTCACACGTGGTGAATGTCCTAATTCCACATATGGATTATCTTAGTTTGACCAACTTTCACTTGAGTTTAACCGAGGGATATTTTGGTCCAAAACATTAGTTTTGGATCAAATCTGAGGGTTTTGCAATTAAGCTCTTTCAAAATCCCATGGTTTGTCTAAGTTTGACCAATTTGACCTGGATTTAACCAAGTTTGACCAAAATCAACCTAGGTTTGACTTTTTTGGCATTAGTTTGACCAAAAAATTGATCAGAATTTTTCTTAGAGCCTTTTCATATTCATTAATCATCTGTCCTCATTTCAGCAATTTCAAAACTTTTATCTCAGTTTTTTGTCTCAAATGTGTACGCTTAATCAAGTTTTTTATTGTCAAGCCTAAAAATCAACTTATTCAAAAGACTTGGAATACTTGTAAAGCATAAAACTTCTTGGAAAAGAATCAAAATTGATTGGAACATGCCAGAACATAATTAGGTATCTACATCGACAAGAGCAAATGACACCACAAAATAGAAAAAGCATACATATAACTTCTAAGAAAGGGAACAACATGGCATTACCTTGGGATTCTTTACAGTCTCATCCACACTTAGAATAAGACAAGCAGCCTCAGTTGCAGCATTGATGGCATTAATCTATCAGCACACATTTAAGATACCAGAGGCACAAATTTGTGAAATTAATATTAGCAAAGAACTAAAAGGTACATCATTAGATAAGCAATTGCTAGTTGGAAAGTGGTCAAATCACCTTTACAACTGATGGCTCCCATACAAAGTTTGCAAATGAATCTGCTATTCCACCAGAGTTGATGTCTACTCCGTAAGGCGCACCCTCACCTGTCCAGAACTCAAACTGTTTAAAGAGAATGATTCACTGATATAAATGGGAAGAAAATTATAAAAAATTTAAAAAAAAAAATTGGAAAGAATAGCAACCAGATGGAAGCGCATGCTTCTGCCTTAATTTGTTCAGCACATCAGTTGCATCAAATCCAGCATTGTCACACAGCTGTCGAGGGATAACCTGCAGATGAGAAGATACATCGTAAAGTTGTTAAATGAAAAAGTTTCATTTTGATACAGGATTTCAAGGTAAAGTTACATGCCACCTTCCCAAATATGTTGTCCTCATGATAAAAAATTACGTTCATGCATCATAAGGAACTTAGACCATGGCTGCATCATATAGTGATCTAAAAATGAATACATGCATAAGCAAGGACAATAAATTTTATAAAATACCATGGGTAAAATATAAAATCTACTGACAGATACATCAAATAAATTGTTTCTCTGGTAATTATTCACACAACAGGCTTTCCCCTTGGTATGAAAATGAATTAAAATTTGTGTATCTAAGTTAAAGAAAAATCTACTTTTTATTCACAAGGTTCAGCAAAATCAAGGAGTGTACTTTAGCATAAAGTTAGTGTTTTAGCATGTCTACATGTGTGTATGCATGTCCTCGTATATACATAGTTTTCTTTTCTCTGGGCAAGTCAATCCTGAACCCTTAGTAAATTACACTAAGACCACATTGATTTCTATATAATATCAAACTAATATCAATTTCCATTTCACCTAAAAAAACTGTGCATTGCTCACTCCCATAGTTTTAACCACTAGAGACATGAGCCAAATTCCTAGGCAGCCAAAAGGAAGAAGAAACTAAGGGCAACAACACCTACCTCAAGAGCTTTTGCATACGAATTAATAAAAAGTTGGGACTTCCCAGCAATTGTGCGTGCATGTTGCCTTAAGTATCGACTTATCTCCATCTGCCACCACAGGCAAGTTTTATACATCAATATAAAAAAATTCCCTTCCAATGTGC